GCATGAGCTAATGCAACATACTCTGATTCAGTTGTTGACAGAGAAACTGTTTGTTGCTTCTTACTCGACCAGCTGATGACAGCATCACCAAGCTTGCAGACATAACCACTTATTGACTTCCTGTCGTCCTTATCATCACTATGATCAGCATCAGCGTATCCCAGAATTGTGTTTCCATCTCTTTTGTAAACAATTTTTACATAAACTGAATTTTTGCTGCTTCATCATTGGAAAATATCAAGAAATCATCCACGTAAATTGCTACAATGATAATTTTCCCATTTTTGGAGCTCGAATGCTCGCAAGTATCACTTCTGGCTTGATTAAATCCAAGTTTGCGTAGTTCTTCATCTAATTTTAAATTCCGCAATCTCCCTGATTGTTTCAATCCATAAAGTGCCTTTTGCAATTTTCATACTTTATTTTTCTCGTTTTTGGTTCGTTTCTCGAATAGTTTAGGTTGTTTCATATAAATTTCTTCTTCTAATTCTGGTTGAAGAAATGCAGTGACAGCATCGATTTGATCTATGTCCCAACCCAGAATCGTAGCGATAGCGATGAGATATCGAAGCGTAGTACCACGAACCACTGGTGAAAACGTCTCCTCAAAGTCCACCCCATACACTTGCATACAACCTCGAACAACTAATCTTGCTTTGTATCGTACTGTTTTTCCTTCAGCATTTTTTTTTCGAAGAATTCACTTACACGAAATCGCCTGTCTGTCCTTTGTTAGATCAACTAGTTCCCACGTATTTTTATTAATTAATGAATCATATTCTTTCTGCATTGCTTGACGCCATAATTCAGCATCACTCCTAGACAATGCTTCTTCTACACTTCTTGGATCACCAGTATGTTCAACTTCTTCTGCTGAGGGCAAAACATAATCCTTAAATTTCTCAGGCAATTTTATGTTCCGACGTAAATAATTTCGATTATCACTGGCAACCTGCTCTTCAACCTTGTTACTGTTTTCCTCCACTTGATGCGAATTAGCGTCAACCTCACTGAAATCCTCTTCCAGTAACGTGTCTTCATTGTCGTCATCTTGAAAAAAATACTGTCTCATTCAAAGAGTTAGTTCTATCGTCTTCTTCTGAGGTAATTGAACGCTCATCAACTCCCTCCATTTCATAATTTTCCATATCATCATTCTGATTCCCATTGCCCAGGATTTCTTCAGTAACAATGATCGAATCCTCTGGCTCATCAAAAAAATGAACTCTCATCAACTTTCTCCTGATTTTCTGCAGAAATCCTCTTTTCGTCGAAAATTACATCATGAAATTTGATAACTTCCTCAGTCTTCATATTGATTAGTCTGTACCCCTTGAAATCCTCGTAATATCCAACAAAAAGATACTCTTCAGATTTAGCATCCCATTTTGTTCTCTTATTCTTCTTTGGTACATGAGCATGCGCTGTACATCCAAATACTCGTATTCTCTCCAACTTTGGCTTGACTCTACTCCAAGCTTCCTCAGGAGTTGATCCTTCAACTGCAACCATTGGACTTCTATTCTTCAAGTAGCACGCAGTATTGACAGCTTCAGTACAATATTTCTTCGGTAAACTGGCTGCATACAGCATTGACCGTGCCTTCTCCACCAACGTTCTGTTGAGTCTCTCGGCAACACCATTTTGCTGAGGAGTAGAAGGTATAGACTTTTGATGATGTATTCCATGTTCTTTCAGATAATCCTTAAAATTTCTGTTGATATATCCTCTCCCATTATCAGACCTGATTGCTCGAATTTTACTCCCTGTTTCATTCTCAACTTGATTTTTGAATTCTTTGAATTTTTCAAGTACTTCAGTTTTATTTTCCAGGAAATGAACAAATGATTTTCGAGTCAAATCATCTGTAAAAGTTAGAATATACCTCTTATTACTGATGGAATTTACATTCATGGGATCACACAAATCTGTATGAATGAGACCAGGCTTTGTCGTTCCTCGTACTGCTGGTTCTTTAGGAATGGAAAACCTCTACTGTTTCCCTTTAACACAGCCAGAGCAAACTCCCACCTCATCTGGATTCTTGAAGTCGATGCCCTCTGCTAAACCGTCCCTGAGTTTCTTCATGCTTACTGAATTCAGATGTCCGAGACGCTCGTGCCATAATTTGTAATCATCTGCACCTGAAGCTACACATACTCGTTCATTATACACATCCAGTTTATAAAGTTCACCATCATCTGATTTAGACACCGCAATCAACTCACCAGAAGATTGAATTCTCATTTCACAGATTTTATCATCAATAAATGTCGTTTGTATACCTTTTCTGCCCAATTGCTTACAAGAAATCAAATTAAACTGCAATCCCTCTGCATATTTGATGTCACGTATTGGTGTCTCGATGATCTCTCCATCCACTCGAAGCAGCATCGTCGTCTCACCAATAACTGAGATTTTACTTTTCTCACCAAGTGCAGTTACGATTGTTCCCCGTTCTCAACAGATTTTACATTGTACAACCAGTCCTTCCTTCCAGTCGGATGACAAGTGGCCCCAGAATCCACGTACCAATCATCTCGACTCGGCGTCCCAACACCAAGAGCAGCAGTTACTTCCATTTTGACAATTAAACCCTTTTCTTGTTTTTGAAATTCTTTTGATTGTTCTCCGATGATTTCATGTCATCTTTCTGCAACTCTGGACATCTTTGTTTCCAGTGACCCGGTTTACCGCAATTGAAGCATCCCTTACTGGGTTTCTTTTTGTTTATATCTGTAGTTTTCGTTGAGAGTAAAGCTGATGCCTTTGCTTCATCTTCTAACTTTGAATCTTCCGTTGACAGACGTTCCTTCACAAGGTCAGTTGTTAAGACAGCTCCACAATTTTCCAAAGCCATGATCAGGGGTTTGTAATGAGCTGGTAAACTGTAGAAAATCAGTGCGGTCAGCACTCCATCTTTTATCTCGTTGTCAATTGCTTTTAATTGTTGAGCTATCCTCACTTTTTTAGTTAGATATTCATCCATATTCTTACAGTCAGCATAGCGAATTATCACCAAGTCCTCAATTAATGCTGCCACCCTCGAAAATCCCTTCGCCTCATACACAGCTTCCAATCGATCCCGAGTTCTTTCCCAGTCTTCAAAACCCTCACTTCTGTATAAATATAAGACTTGACACCAGAAACGATAGCTCCAAGGGCCCTGTGATCAAGTCGTGCATCTTGTCTGTCTCCCGTCACTAAGTCCCACAAATCACAATTCACCAAATGAATTTCCATACTGTACTTCCAATCAATGTAATTCGATCGCCCTTCAAGCTTCTCGATCGAGGAAGGCACAGATGTATTGCTGACAGCGTGCACGGTCTGAAGAACCCTGACATCTTGATTTCCTTGATTCCCTTATACTGCGGGATCAACCATCTTTGCTTTTATACACTTTTATCAAATCACTTCTCTTTATTCTGGGCCCATAACCTGATAGAATAAGTAATTCATTCAATGGAAGAAATAAAGAGAAAAATACAAGTGTGTTGTATCGAGTCAGATAAACGAATGAATGTAGGAGAGAGTGAGAACATGTAGGTGTTGTTTTTAACAAAAACGGAACATTACTTTTGGTAACTAAATCATCTATTCCGTTTCGAACACATTTACGATGGAAGATTTCCCCACAATTCGCTATCTCATCACTCAATCACAATCGAACTAAATATTTGCAGTCACAAGTAATGAAAGCAAATACACAAATACACGTATGAATATTAATGTTCCTCTTTTGAGTATCCCACTCGCAGTTTTTTAATTTCCAATTTCCAAAATTTGATCTAGAATAACCCCATAAGCAACTATGTATACCGCCATACGCGCTGTATATGTGTACGAAAACATTGTAATTAATTTGTTTCATTGTTCAGGCATATGGATAACCATTTTCTGAATGTTCTCAAGGCTTGACTGCCAGTCCCACCTAGGAAAATGACGCGCCTCCGAAGAGTCCGTGTAGAGATGCAGCGGACGTACCTCTACACGGTGTAGATTCTTCTATTGAAGAAGGCTTTATTCCAAACTGTTAGGGGCAAGTGCCAAACGCTGGAGATTCGAAAAACGCCGTCCTTCGGATCGTGTATACACGCCTGTGATGCGTTATTGTTCCATGTAGAGATGGTTGTTTTTAATTCTTGTTCATTGAATTGGTGTAGAGACGAGCTTTCACTGTTTATTTCTCGGTGGTTGAGATGAGGAGCGCCTTTCATTCGATGGTGTAGAGATCAATGGTCGAATTGCAGTCGTGTAGAAATGAGGCTGAGTAGAGTTGAATCGTACCGACTTTACTGTCTCTCCTTGCTCATATTCTCCAATCCCAATGCACTTTGATCCCAATCCGGAAATACTACTAAATTGCGGGTATGGCTGCGGTGACATCCAATTTAGGAAGGAGATTGCCCAAATCGATTTAATTATGGCCCAAAATTTTTAGTTCAATGTTATCTTAACTGAGTTTGAAGGTGCCAGTTGTATTATCAATTCTCTAGTTATGGCCGTAAGAAAGTTAAATCACAAAATACAAGCCCACTAGGGTTATACATGCATAAATTTTCTAAAATTCTCATATCTTGACATTTCATGACATTCTACATCATTTTGAGACCAAATTGGAAGATATATATGTAGTCAAATATAAGTTTTCCACACACCTGCACGGAAAGTTCGTACTTTCCTCCCGCTCATCAAAGAGCAAAATACGAACTTTCCTTTGCAGGCGTGTTAAAAAATAGCATGTGCACCTCGGGCGGGAAAACATGACTTTCCGCCCTTGATGCACAATATGCTAGAGTATGTAAACAAGGAAATAAGACGAGATTAGAGATTGAAATAAAGAGTAAGAGAAGCATATATAGATGTGTAACAAAGAATACTTTTGTAACATCAAGGAAATAAATTGAATTGAATATATGTAGTCAAATTCAACTATTACAAAGCTTCCATGCTCAAGTAAAAAAAAACATTTAGGGTGGATTGATAAATAACGAACATCATGGTGTAATATCTTTTATTCATGTTTTTTCATTTTCTAAATTTGCATTCGATACATCTGGTTTTTCTTAGTGTTACTGAGAATTTATTTCATCTAATTCGCTTATGTATGCCTCCAATTTCAGATGATTCTAAAATGGTTTTATGGCAAAAGAAACAAAAATGGCTGCTCTGCCTGGTACGGAGGGAGGGAAATACGAATAATCTTAACGTCGAAGCAAACTATCTCAAAATCCCTGATGGACCCTTTTCTTTTTCATGAAGGGATCGTACAATTTCGCAACTACTTATGTATCACAGTTGCTTTCTTCACATATAAGCAGAGGGTGAGGGGAAAATGACGAAAACACATTCCCCCATAATAAACTCAATCCTTATTTAATACCAGGAAATTATAACGATATTGAAGCAACGATGCAATCGTACCATAGTGATTATTCAACGATTTCGTCCAAGAAAAGAGGAAATATACTGCGGACAAATTTTCCTTGAAAATGAAAAAATAAAATAAAATAAAACAAAAAATGCCCATTTCGTATTGAGCTACGCGAGTGAATTTGTTTTCCATTTGTTTTCTTCATTCTGTTTGTGTTCAATAGTGCGATAGACGAACAAGAGTTGTTCCAAATGTAACACGGAAATTCATTAAAATGAGGAAAAATCAATTTAATAAGACGAGTTCGAGTCGCCGTTGGAGTAAGAAGAATGTTTTCCTCTTCTTGGTTTACCGGACAGGCTCGTTCACTACTAAAAATGCTTGATGTTTGATTCAATTTTTTTTATTCTTCCTCTCTCAAAAAGGTGGGACCATTTTTTTAGGAGAAAAAAGGGCTGAAGATTGTTGACGTCTTATCTTTGATGCTCCATCTTATCTTATTACTTCTCATTCAAAATGGGCACATGGAAAAAGAGGGATGGGGAATGATTTTAGGCAAAGAGCAGGGACCATTGATAGGTTTAGAGTTCTTTCTCGATCTTGATGAGTTCGGCGATGCCATCGTGCATCTCCCTGACTGCCTGGTATTCAGTAAGCCCAAGACGGCGTTTGTTCGAGATGTCATAGATACCACCCTCGGCCTCAGTGTGTTCACCACGAGTACCACGGACTTGGAGATTAAATTTAGCAGCGACTTCCTCGAGTTTGGCTTTATTGGCTGCCAATTTGGGGACTTTGATATGCACTGAAGCCCGAACCGTTGTACCCAAGTTAGTGGGACAGAATGTGAGGAAACCGAGACGATCATCATGGGAGAAAGGTAGACGTTTCTCAATGTCGTTGACTGCAGTTACGAGACGACGATACACCTACGAAAAAGAAGAAGATTAATTTCCAGTTCTTTTCATTTCCATCTATGATGACTTCGGCGTTCTACAAGCTATTCAGGTTGAAAAATTATGAGCATAAAATGAGGATACCTCATAATATGAGGTATCCTGGAAATATTGCGAGATATGCGAGGTAATCGATGGTTCTTTCATCGATTGATGAAAATCTCCATATAACGATGAAACGTAATATCCCGTTTTGGAGCAATGGGCAACAGAAAGATGTATAGGTGATTAAACAAAAATTTTAGAAAAAGATAACTTGAAAAATATTGAGAATTGAAGGAGTTATGATTTTTCGCAAATGGATAGTTTTTGTCCAAAAAATTATTTTTTTCAAAATCTGTCGGTCTTTAAGCTATCAAATCGTCCTTTGGCACACTCAAAGAACATGACAAACCCTTGAAAATGAGATGACAGCTATAGCATTATTTTCAGTTTGACGGGGTTTATACGAGAAAAAGTTTGTTTTTTAAATCGTTAGTTAATGGCTCAAAAAGCTCATTTTTATGAATTTGAAATTTTCACCAAAAATCGTCAATACAATGACAAGAATTTTGACACCAATTAGGTTCTCTTTCACCGTAGGTCGGGCAATGGGATTTTCGGTCATTTTTTATACCTGTCCCACTGAAAAAAAATCAATAAATTCTGCTCATTTTATTGAAAATTTTGGGTGAAAATTTCAAGTTTTTAAAAAATGAGCTTTTTGAGTAATTAACGATTGAAAAATAAACGTTTTCTCGTACAACCCCCTTCAAACTGAAGTTAATACTATGTATGACATCTCATTTTGAAGGGTATTTCATGTTCTTTGAGTGTGCCAAAGAGCGATTTGATAGCTTGAAACTATCGGGCCTGCAGAAATATTGAGGCCAATTTGAAAAAAAAATTTTTTCTACAAAAACTAGCAATTTTCAAAAAATTATAACTCCCTCAATTATGAATATTTTTCAATTTTTATTGTTTCAAAATTTCGTCTAATCGTTATGTTTTCAGAAAAAAATAGAGACAAATATCCCCAGTATAGACTTTTTTGTCCTGCTGATTTGGCGTGGATCTACTCATAGACTAATTAAGACAAAAAAGTGAGAAGGAAATTTGGCGTTATCAACTATCAGCTGTAGCCATCAGTATGTTTTTTATCTATCATAACAATGAGAAATAATAACAGTAAGGTTGTGAATTGAGGCTCATAAATAAAATGAAATAGGGTAAAATATAATGTAGTTTTTTTATTATCGTGCCTGAGATGGATAAACATCGATGTAAATAGTGAACAACTGCCCGAAAAATTTTTCTGGAAGAATCAAAAATATATTTTAAATATTTTAGGGATAATTTTTCTGCCTATTTTACATGAATGGTGCAAATTTTAATATTAAACAAAACAAAATTAGCTGTGTAGGAGTCGAATTTCCAAAAACTAATTCGTCATTGCTATTATATACATTTTTTCAAAAATTTTGAAAAAAAACTCTGTAGCTCGAAAATTGGAGGCCCTGGAAGAATTTTTACATTTTAACCGTCTGCAGGACAATCGAAGAATAAACAATGAGTTTTTGCACCAATTATATATTTTTAGACATATACAATCGATCTTCAATGCACAGTTAATCTCACGCCAATAGCTCGCGAATTTAAAAACTCATAGTAGCCTCTCCTTAATTACAGACAACAGGAAAATTCATAATTGATTTGACTCGGCTATTAAAAAAATGATGATGCTATTGAAATCTACTTCTATTTGTGATCCTGATCTATGATTTATTTTCATTTTCCTCACGTTCATGAGGAGTGAACGATTTTGTAGACGTAACGATTTATTTGTTCAACGACGAAAATGGAGAGCGTGCTGACGAGCGCGTGCAGCGCGCTTCATATTGCTATCAGTAAAAAAATATCTTCAAAGATTCCTCGGAAGTTAAGTGTGTCTGTTACTCTGTTACTCATCGTTCATCTCTTACGGAAATTATGGAAATGCTTTGATATATCGCCAACAGATTAAGACCGATCGTTTCTATTTTCCTTTTAACGGTCATTATTGTTTTTTCAACGTGTGGAAGAGAGGAAGATGAGTGCTTGTCATTTGAGGAAATAACTAGGTACTCTCAGGCGAAAAGCTCTCATTTTCCTCCTGTTTATCAGAGAGCACAGACCGAATATTCTATACAGATGTGTCCAAGAGAAATAAAATAGGTCATCATGACATCAGGGAGATGGAACGATGTACAATGCGAATTTTTAAATTTACTGGCGATGAGGTGATTGGAACAATACTCAATTAAAAGACTGAACAGTTTCCATCAGAAATCCCTAATGAAACTTTAAGAAGATCAGACATCCCTAATGAAACTGATAATTACACTGATATCCTTGATTGTTCCAAAAAATCTGCATATAAAAAACTCGAATTAGAAAAGATCATCTCATCATCAAGTTTTACAGGAACATGATATATATAATGCAAAAATATAAAAACACGAGAGATGGAAGCTGCATATAATGTTTAAAAAAATTTAATTGAAATTTAATTTTTTTTTTCATATTTTGCTCTTTTAATTTGCCTTTTTTTATCCATTAATTTTTTAATTCTTTTTTTTTCTATTGAATATTTTAATACAGTACCTTACACAGGTCATTATATGAAATTTTATATAAAATTGAAATTTTATATAAAATTTTATACAATAACAAAATGTTGTAATGTTATGTTCGTTGACGTTAGGGTACTGAAAAATTGTAAGATGTGTTTGTAATGGATTAGGGGTATTTATTGTGTGGCACAATTTGAGAAGAGATGGATCGGGCTGTAAACGTAAATACCACTTGGTTTGATTCCTCATTATAGGATAATTCTTTGTATATGTATTGAAAAAGAGGGAGAGAGAATTTCGTGTTTGGGTATTCGGCAATTTTTGTAGGAGGGGATAATCATAGGAGGAGATTTTGGATAAGGCGATTTTTGTAGACGAGGATTTTGAATGCGGAGATTTTGTCGCGGGGATTTTCCCCCTATTTAAGAAGCACGATTTTTTAAATAACAAAATGAAGCGCAGCTCTACCCAATTCGCTATTTGGGGACGAATTGTCAGTTGTAATACCCCGAGACCTTCAAAATTATCAGATATTTTCCAACAGCTACGTTGTAAATAAATGAAAGTGTTAAGTTTTGCTGGCTAAAAATCTCGAGTGCGCTGTACGAGGGATTTTTCGGCAAAAACTTGACAGATTCGTTTTTTTGCAGAAAAGCTTGAGAGAAATATCAGCTAAATTTTGAAGGTTGAGTAGTATTCGGAGGACAATTTCCTCAATTCTGATTGAGGATCAAAATTGAGTAAATAGTCAGTAGTAATACCCCAAGAGCTTCTAAATTATCGGGTATTTCCCGATAGCTTCGTTGCAAACAAATAATAGTGTCAAGCGCTCGGGAATTTTTAACCTGCAAAACTTGGCACGATGGTTTGTTTGCAGGGGAGCTTGAGGGAAATACCCGATTAATTTTGAATCTCGAGGGGTATTTGTCGGATTATTTTTACCAATCGGATTTTGGCCAAGTAGAGTGCAGTGGATAACATCGGGAGGTGAATTGGAGAAGATTTGAACAACTTATTTTAATAGAATACCCCCATTTCCATAGACTGTCAAATATAAGATTCTATCTGAAATGAGCCGAAGAAATTAAGAGCTACTGCGAAATATTGAGATAAAAAAATGAAGAACTACCACGAAATATTCAAAAGCTAGGAGGAAATATCCGAAATAAAACTATCGGATAGCCTCAAATACTGCGCTCTGATTGGTCGAAATCCGATAGGGAAAAATAATCAGTAAAATACCTAGTCCATACGCAATACCCCCCTCCCATGGTCCTCAAGTGGTCGATGGAATTTTATTATTGCATTTCAGGTTTTTGAAGGTAAAAAAACCAAATTTTTTGGTTATATTTTCCTTCAGTCATGCAATCATTTGTTAGAAACAAATTAGTCCCCATTTTCAGTGAGCAGATAATTTTCCGCAAAAACCGGGAGAGATACAGAAAAATGTTTCGAATGAATGTTATTCCTCTTTTTCTTACTGTTATGCCCCTAAATAACATTGAGTAATTCCTCTGTTGATCCGGATAATATTAGGACACGAAAGTGGCACAATATTCGGAACAAAACAGAGAATGAAGAAATATCAAATAACGTTGAATATTCGTGCATTAAATCCACGTATATCCGATGAATGTAGATAACTGAGGTGCACCGTCAGCACTTTGCGCCCCGACGACTGGCCTTCGCGCGCGCCGGAAGACGTCACCCGATGCCTCGCAGGTGTGAGCCGAAGACAACGACCTGATGCAATCGAATACACTATGGAATATAAAAACTCGCGAATTCGTTGCTACTCTAGGCCAGTTATTCGACGAGTCTCTAATTACGTTCTTTACACTCTATACTCGCCTAATACCTTCGGGGTCAGTCCGAGTTCTTATTTATTTAATAAAAGGTTAAATAATAATAGTACATTAGAGCACTAGGGCACTAAGTTCGTTTTCGACGAATGTGAAGGTTACAGGCCGAGCCGAAGGCGAGGTCTGTATTCACATTCGTTGAAAACGAAGTTTGTGCCCGAGCGGTCTATAATATTTCATGTCTTGCGACCGTAAACCGCGTTTGAACCGAGCGGAGCGAGGTTAGAAACGCGGTTTATCGGTCGCCGTGACATAAATTCTATTATTTATTCGCGTGTGATTTATCCCTACATTGAAGCCAGACCGCTCGGGTCCATTACATTACGAATAAAATGATTTTTGAGGCATGTTAAACTAGCACAGCCAAATCAGCACAATCAGGAAAAGTGAAAAGCATTTGAAAGCTTACATGTTTTGGTAATTTTTTCCGCAAACAAAATTTGCTTCAATAGATTTTTCTAAGGCTGTACCAACTTTGTGAAAGCTAGCACAAATCGATTTAAAAAAAACAATAACAATC